GCGCAAATATGCAACAACAACAATAAAAAAAAAATAACTGATAGTAATTTTATAATAAGTTTAATTGCGTACCGCGTGCATCTAATTGCACAAAACGAAACGAAACCATATTGCACACGACAAACGATGTGGGTGGACGACGATAATGAAGCGATCCGCGATTGGTAATGACGGGTTTCGATGTCCACACACGAATATACCGAGAACAAAAACAAACGACAAAAATGTATCCAAAAAAAAACAAACAAAAAAAAATAGTAGGGAGCACCGTGACCAAAGTTATTACCTAAATTGGGTTACGTAAACGGGGTAACCAGTGGATGAATAGTCGCGTACGGCACACCACGATCGACAGATGGTCAAATACACTTTGCGGTTTTTCCATCTGCCGCGAAAGATATGAAATTATTATTTTTTGACGTCTCTATAGGAATTACATAAAATCTGCAATTACCTATAGCAACAGAAAAAAAAAAACATATAATTTATTAAGCAAAAGTTTAACATTTTTTTCTTCTTTAGAGACTTTATCTCAGTAATTAGTGAAGGGTTTGAAGAGGATTAGCGACCCTTTCTATACACATTCTTCCCCGTGTTTACAAACGCTAAACCTTGTCTTTTCTATTCTTCGCTTCTTCTTTACGAGTTTTCCTATGACAATTGCACGTAATTGACGTGCACTTCTTCTCCTCTTTTGGGGACGGGCGGTTACGCCTTATTAAGACTACGTAATTCTTTTACTCTACTTATTATTTAAGAATTGTAGGCCGCCACAGGAGGGCCTAATTACGGCGCATTCAGACTGTAGCCCCTGGATTTGCATTTAATAATCCTGCAGTACTTCCCATAACACGCACATACACAAACTATAAATCAATGGAAAGTAGTTGCGACCCCAAAAGACTACGAGCAGATTTATTCTAATTTTATTCATTTCGAACTCTGCTTCGTTTTTGTCTACCTACCTTCGCTTTCACACTCCCGTCTTTTAGTACTGATTTTGAGGCGGAAAGGTGCAGATTCTGCTAGCCTATTTACTTGGGACCGCAAAGACATCATCGATTTGTGTGAATCTTCCCTTTACATTCGTTTAAAAAGCGTAATTCGGCGTTAAATTTTCAGCTCCGTAAACATGCCAAATATTGATATTTACGGCTGCGGAAATTTCGCGCTCCCCGGGATCATCTGACAACAATTACACGGTGCAAATGTCGTGTGAAAAGAAAGATCCTCCTCTCTCTTCTTCGATCCTGAAGACACCTTCCAATTGCAACAAAAGAGAAAAAAAAAAAGATTTCCATCAATGGTTTCTATGTAATTGCGACAAATATATACCTAAAAACAATCAAGTAGTCGTCTTTAAATAATGAAACAAACTCTGACATGTCATGGATTTGACAATTGCTGTCAAAGATGACAGGAAATGAAAAATATTTATTTTTCATTTGTTAATTAATTTATTTATTGGCGTTCGAAAAAAATCAAATTAAAACAAAACACAAATTGTAATATTTTAATTCATTTTTATTTATTAGGGTAGAAGTACTAAACAAATTCAAAGGTTAGAAAACATAAATCAACATTGTTGTCAATTTTTATTGCGATTGTCAATGAAACAACATGACTTCTGTTGACAATTGTCACGTTTGTTGTACGACCCAAAACATTTTGAACTAATCCAATTTTTTTTATTATTTTCGTTTTTACGAACGTAATTATTGGGGGAGAAAGGTCGTAAACTTTACGCGGAGATTTTTACACTTCGTCAAAGAGTGCGTCGTTTCGAGAAAATAGTTTACGATCTCCATTATTTCTCTCTTCCACACGATTCCCCACTAAAAACTTTATTTCGAATCCTCGTAAAATTGGAAACGCGTAAATCAATTGATCCCATTAACACCCTATTTTTATTATTATCATCGTTCGCACATAAATAAAGGAGAAAAAAATTCAAGAAATAGATTGTATTTTTGTTTCAAATAAAATTACAATAAAAAGACTCAAACTTAGTTGAGATTTAATTATGTTATGTTCTTTTTTTTTAATTTTGTACAATTAACGAAAGGGGAGCTTTTGATGTCGTTTGAAGTTGAAGCCCTTCAAATCGAACTGCTCATTTCGTTGATGCATTATGTCTGCACAAATAATAAATTCAGCTATAATGAGAGTAGATTTGTTTTTGTGTTATTTGCTAATTACATAAAAATTGATGCAAAGTAATCGGGTCATCCGTGATTCGTAAGTGACATACGAAAACAAAATGAAATAGTAAGTTTAATTGCTTAGAGACTTATATAATCTAGCTTGAATTTGTGTGCTTTTTTGTCTGTTTTTGGGTTTAGGACTGAAATTAGATATAACTTAAAACGTTGCCATTAAAATAAATGATTTGTTTATGTAACTATGGAGATTGAGTCGAGAAACGTCAACGGGTTGAGTCGGTTGCGTGTCGTAAACGGTATGTGGATTTGCTCTAATTACATAAAAACTTAAATTATGTAGATCGAATTAGTGTTTTGAATATCGAATTAGTGCATTATGTTATTTGCTAATTACATTAAAATTGATGCAAAGTAATCGGGGCATCCGTGATTCGTAAGTGACATACGAAAAACAAAAGGGAATTGTTTGAAAGTCGAGAAACGTCAACGTGTTAGTTGCATTACAAATGAAATGGTAAGTTTAATTGCTTGGAGACTTATATAATGTAGCTTGAATTTGTGTGCTTTTTTGTCTATTTTTTGGGTTTAGTACTGAAATTGGATGTAACTTAAAGCGTTGCCAATAAAATAGATGATTTGTTTATGTAACTATGGAGATCGAGTTGAGAAACGTCAACGGGTTGAGTGTCGTAGACGGTAAGTGGATTTGCTCTAATTACATGAAAACTTAGATTATGTAGATCGAATTAGTGAATTATGTTATTTGCTAA